TTGTGTTAAACCGGCTATCTACTAGTTTCATCCCGTGACCCCTTCTCCTATTGTGAGACACTAAATGGTGAACTGAAAGTAACTAGGGATTTATTTACTATTTTGTAAACCCTTAGCACGTCCCCCACAAGTATCTCTTTTATAGAGTGACTAGGCCTAGCCTCTTCAGTCTCCTCCTAGGGAAGCCCCTACATGGCACTAAGAATCCTCCTTGCCCTTCTCAGAGATGGTGGAGATTGCCGCACCCCCTCTATGCTCCCCATGGTCAGATCTAGGATTGTGAAAAAGTGGGGTGCAGGGGGGGCTCATCACATAGAAACACAACACACATTTTTCTCCAGGTAAAAATAAACTAGAAACTTTACAAAGTGCCTAGGGCTTCAGGTTAAGATATAAACAGGTATCACTGAAGAAGAGAAAAGTCAGAGGGGACTTGGTGGTAGCCTATAAGTATATTAGGGGCATACATCAGGGCCTGGGGGAGCATCTGTTCACTCAGGTACCCCAGGGGAACACAAGCCCTGGTGGTCTTCAACCAGCATCTTGATGCCCACCTTGCTGCGGTCTTTCCTGCCCAAGTGCAAGGGGGCTGTTCTCGTAAGGTCCCTTCCACCCCTAACAACTATGAATATCATTGTGAGGGGGTGAAGAGGCGGGCCAGATCGGAGGCTTCCCGCCCCGGCGCAGCAGTGCTGAACTCACCCACACACCGCAGAAACACTGGGCAACCCCTTACCATCTGCAGGTGCGGGGAAGTAGGCGTGGCCCGGGCGGCAAGGACCAATGTAAGAGGGACGCCGGCGTGCGGAAGAAGAGAGGCGGAGCCGGAAGGAAGCCAGGTGGCTGCAGCGGCGAGAGGAAGCTGCGGCGAGCGAAGAGAAACTGTCCAGAGGCGCTGTTGAACCTGGTGGGGTAAGCCGAAGCCTCCACAGGGCAGGGAAGCAGGTACAACGGGTCCCAGCGAAGACCCGGGTTGTGCAGCGTGGTTAAGAACGGCCTGACCCGGCAGGAGCCGGGAACCGCATAGTTTGGAATAGAGGGGCACTCTCTACAGGAGAAGAGGCTGCCCAGTGTCTATAAGGACTGAAAGTTGGTAAGAAGCCAGGGAAAAGGACTAAGGAGCCCTGAGAGGGTCCTAGGAAGGAGTGCTCTAGCACCCAACAGCCGGGTAGGAACAATAGGGCACTGAGGGCAGGCTAGCCCAGTGCCCAAATAACCCGGACTGAAAAATCATTGATGGCATAAAACAGAAATCGCAGAGTAAAAGGGAGCTACCTACTGACGGGTCCGTGGACCCGAGACAACGACAAATCCGGTGGTACGGGTGAGGGTGTAGGGGTGGCGGAGCCCTCACAGACTAGGGACCCCAAGAGTCCTGGAGTCTCACTTTTGGACTGGTACGCGCTGGAGTAAGATCACTGAACCGGAATAACATCAAAGTCGTGGCAGGCGTATCAAGCGCCTACAGGCCGAGAGGAGGGACCCGTAGTGATTGGAAGCGCTGTGGGCGAGGTGTGAGAGAAGGCGGGTGCGGCATTGGATACACCGAGCCCGCACAGTGGTGGATTGGCCGGGAAGCACTATTTTGCTTCCAACGTCAGCCTCCCTAGGAGTAATAAGGGATACAAATGGAGCACGCACCGGGAATGCCTGGAGTGGAGACATTGCAACAAGCAACGAACATGATGGCCCAGGTGCTGCAGCAGCAGCAGTAACAGGCCATGAGGCAAACAAGCCTACAGGAGCACCTGCTCCAGCAGCAGTGGTGGGCCCAGAAGGGGTCATGGGACTTTCAGATGCCAAAAATGTCAAAGGAGGATGATCCGGAAGGTTCCTAGAGACTTTTGAAAGGGCGGCTTTAGCTGCAGGGTTAGAGAAAAGTAAATGGGCCAGACACCTAGGCATCTTACTAATCGGCCAGGCTCAGGCAGCATACCGAGCTATGGCCAGAGGGGATGCCCTGGACTACGACAAAGTTAAGGCCGAGATACTACAGCGGTTAGATATAACGCCAGAAAGGCACCGGCAGACTTTTAGGGAGAGAAAGGGGGGTGAGGGAAGAACTCCCTGCCTTCTATGGCAGAGTCTCGCAGATCTGCTGAGTAAATGGCTCCGGCCTGAGGAGACATCAAAGGAAGAGATTTGTGATCAAATTCTCTTAGAATAGTTTGTTACAGATCTCGAGGAAGACACCCAGAAATGGGTAAGATGTCATTGTCCCAACTCCTCTTGTGAGGCATTGCGACTGGCCGAACAATACGAAATGGCTCAAGGGGACCGGCGGAGACCTAAAGGTACGCGAGGGCAAGAAGCGGTTACGAGGCGGGGCCCAGAGAGCAAGG